GGATACTGCGATGGCTGCTGCGCGTAGGCGCTCTCCGGCGGCGTGGGGTACACGGTGGGGGGTTGCGGCGGCGGCGGCTGTTGCTGCTGTCCCTGCCCGCTCTGTTGCCCCTGCTGCGAGCTCTGCGGAGTGATGTACGGATTCCTGAACGCGCCAGCCGCCTGCGTCTGCGCCTGGGCCTGCGCGGTGTACGCTTGGTGCTGCGCGAGGTGTTGGTTGTAGCTCGCCGCGTCTTGGTACGCGCGCGTCCCCTTGGGCTGCGACGGCACCAGCCCGCCGTACGGCCGTTTCGGGTCCGCCGCCGTCCCCTGCTGCGACTGCGACCCACTGCCCGTCAACCCATCCGGCTGCGAACACCATTAGCAAAACGCGCAACAAAAAGGAAGAAGCACACGACGCACAACAAACGGCTTGGTGAACTTTTCGCCCGTGATAAAGGGGTGCAGGCGCGCCTGCTGGGGCGTCCACCGCGTGACGGGGTTGAGGTTGAGCAACCCCTGGCAAAAGTCGATAAACGACGCGCGGTTGTTGAGCTCTGCGGATGGCGTAATCAACGCGATCAGATCGAAAGAGAGAGACGGAGACGGAGACGCACCCTTCTCGACCTCATGCCCCTGCCTTGCGGCTTTGCTCTGCGGCATAGGCGCAGTATTGATAATCTCGGGCAGCGACGTCGCCTTGAAGTACTGCTTCCCGGGCTGCTCGTTCGTGTTGTGCTCGCGCGAGTACTGGCGGGCGTCAACACGCGTCGTTGACACAGAAAATGCCACTCACCTGCTCAATACTCTTCAACCGATATTTCTTGTCGTTCGTGGCGGTATGGTGGTTATAGTTGTCAAAGATGTCAAAGAACTGCGCGGTCTGCTTGCCCGTATTGAGCATGCTCTGTGGCGGCATCCCGAGCATCTCGACGATCCTTGTCAGCTGATTATACTCGCTCGTCCCGGGGAACAGCGGCAGGCCCAAAAACAGCTCGACGGCAATACACCCCAGACTCCACATGTCGATGCTCGCGGTGTACGACATGCCTAGCAGGACCTCGGGGCTGCGGTAGAAGCGGGACTGGATGTACGTGTACACCGTCTGCCGCTCATGGCACGCGGAGCCGAAATCGATGACTTTGATCTGCGGAGACTGGAGGGACTTGAGGAGGATGTTCTCGGGCTTAAGGTCGCAGTGGATGAGTCGCGCCTCTTTGAGGACGGTCATGGCGTCGAGGAGCTGGGCCATAAAGACCTTGACGAGCTGGGTGGAGAGGCCCTGGAACTGGTTCTGCTTGATGAGCTCGTAGAGATTCGAGCTAAGGAGCTCAAAGACGAGGCAGAGATGCGAGCGGTGGATGAACGAGTCGCGCAGACGCAGGATGTGGTGCTGGTCGTTGGGATCCGAGTTTTTGTTGAGCTAGAGGCGATTAATTAACGGACGGTTTACATACGACAACCACACACCATCTCGAGAATCGTGACCTCCATCATGCTCTGGTTAAAGTACGCGGGCTTGTTCTTGACGACCTTGACGGCGACAATCTCGTGGGTCTTCATGTTCTGGCACTTTACGACCTGGCCGAACGTGCCCTGGCCGAGAATGTCGAGAATGAGATACTTGTGGCCGTCCTCTGCGCCGAGCCAATCGTTGACATATAATATATAGTCATAGTCGTCGTTGTCGTAGCCGTCGTTGTGTGCGGGCTTGCTCGGCTTTGTCAGCACGCGGCGGGGGTTGTGAGTGGACTCGTAGCGGAACTGGGGGTTGCAGATGTGGTACGTGTCGAGGAGGTTGGTGGTGAGTTGCCGGAGAGGCTGCCCGAGTTTCAAGATGAGCGATTAATTCGTGATTAAATGTAGAGCGCCGACATACCGACAAATAGGCGCCATCGGCGCCCATCCGACGGCCGGCGACGGGGATGTCGAGACGCGGCTGGAGGTCATGGGCAGTGCGGACGCGGCGAAAGCCGGATGCACGGCGCTTCTGGGGCGGTGGATCAACGGCCATTGCGGCGTCATAGTACGCCGACGGGGGTGTCTGGGCGGGATGGAGATACGACAGCGGGGTCGGGGGGTTGGATACGGAGCTCTGGGAGCGCTGTGGCTCGAGATAGGCCTGCGCAGGGGGGTAATTGGGTGCATATGGCGCGGGTGGCTCCTGCTTCTGCTGTGACAGCGCCCGGTTGTGGGTGGGGTACGTCCGTTGGTCCTGAGGCGGGCCGTAGGGGTACTGGGGAGTGGTAGGGGAGTACTGGGCCTGCTGGTGCGCATACGGGTCGAGCAAGGCCGAGTTTGGGGTGCGGAGGGGTGAGCGCGGTGCATGGTCAGCGGTGCGCTGCTGCTTTGGATAGTACATGTTGTCTGGATAGCCGTCCTGCTGGTACTGGGGATAGAACGCGGGATCGAGCTCCTCCTGGTTGTGGTGTCTACGGCGCGCAGAAGTACCCCCAAGACTCTGTGAGCGAGCAATGTTGTTGCTGTTGTCGTGGATGCGGTTTGCGTAGTACGCAGCCTGTGCAGCAGTCTGGGAGGAGGAGAGCGGGAGTGGATCCGCCTGGGACGTCCAGCGGGGCAGCGTATCGTCCATTGAGTACAACTACTCCTGGGGTGGAGAATCGAGTACAACTACAAAAGTGCCAAAGCTGCCACAATTCGACTTTCAAGCAACATCACACTTCTGCTCTCCACATCCATGCTCACAAATACTTGCTTCTCAGTACGCGTAGCTACAACGCGTTTCTCAGTATCCTATACATATACACAGTGTACTCGCTGCTCACCCAGTCGACACGCCATCGATAACGCAGCATTCCCCGCAAACAGCGTCGTCCCTGTGCTCTTTCCCTGCTCCAGTCAGTGTCCAGCCATCTTGTTTCACTAATGCGCAACCCACCCCAGCCAACGGTGGCATTCCAACCGCCCAGTCCTTTGCCAGACGTCCCATCTCCACCGCACCCGTCTTTTCCTTTTCTTCTCCCGCAAAACTCCCGCCCCAGATCATGTACGAGTTCTCCAGCACCGTCACCTGCACCACCATCCCCGTCTGCGTCGCGTCGCTCCCTGCAAAGTACTGCGTGTGCACCGATATGCCCATGTCGTCGTTGTGCAGCACGTGGTGTTTTGTCTCTTTGTTCCTATCCACCTCCATCGATGCCCCACATCGATTGCAATGGATCCGATATGCCGCCCAAAACTCGATTCACGCATCGCATCTACTACATACAGCATATGCCTGCCACCTGGGATCAGCATGCCCTCCCGCATATCCATCTCCGCTCCGACTCTGCATATGCATCTCTCCGCGTGTTTGTGCCGGCATCCATTGACCCGTGTCCCACTCCAATTGTGCTTGGTGCTCAATTGGTGCTCAGAGAGACTTTTGGCAATTCCTGCACAGGGTTCGCACTTGCAACTTTCTCAACTCACCCACGGAACGGAACTCCCATTTTCGTTCTCGGAACGCCAACGCATCAACATGTCCGCCGGGTAACCACCACTCAAATCCTGAAACGCGCAATTTCCCTAGTGACGCACTGGCTAAACACGGGCATGGCGATCTTGGCCGTCATTTTAGGACAAGCGAAACTTGGACCCGCTTGTCATTTTTCTGCAGACTGACCTTACGCTTATGGTTCTTGTTTGTCCTTGGCTCATCCTTGGAGCCTGGTTTTTTATTCACTCGCATTCGAATCTTTGCTTGTTCAATCTCTTACCTCCGCTTCAGATGCTTGCCAAAAATTCTTCGCTTGACAAATCACCGGCGTCGTATTTTCGCCTTTTTCTGTCCTTGCCTGGTCCAAATTTCAAACTCGTGTGTCAAATGCACTTCTTGGCTGGGCTTGGCTCGGCCTATCTACATATGTGCGCCGCTTGACGCAATACCAGGATGATATTCGTAATCACACCAACCTCTCAAGAACCACGAAATAGAATTATAGAAACAATTAAGATAGCTGTTTTTCCACCTCAAACCTATTAATACCCTAAACGCTGTCGCAACTACCGACAAAAAGACTGACAGTTCCACTTACAGTTACTCCGCGACCCGACGCGACGTTTCGGGTACGACCTGCCCTGCCTGACTGACTGACCGCACAACTGACTGCGGATTGCGCTGCGACGTCTCTCGTCTCCGTCTCGAATGGTGTCTGGTGTCACTGTCTGCCTCACAACAACAACGACGACCGACTGCGGAAGGCTATTTCGGATACAGTTCACCGGACTTTCTCTGCGGCAACATCTCTGCGTCTTGGGATTTCTATTTGCTGTTCGCAATCTTTCACGAATCTACCACGAGCCCGACGCGACCCCGCTCCAGTTTCTTCGCGGATTACGTCAGATGCAAAGAGATCTGATCTGCATAAACGACGATGCGGCTGGGTATAGATATGCCGATGGGATGGATGAGGGGAACAGTGCCCGAGCCGTGCAATATTTATATATGTATCAGATACTATCGTACCGGTCCCATGCGGCGTTTGAACGGAACTGGTTTCAAGTTACTCAATTGACTGGGCGACGAGTTGCTTTACGGACAGGTACTGAAATACTTGAAGGAGGATGGAACTTTGCGAGCACGATAAAACTGAATCGTACATACGCTCAACTGATTTCGTGTGCGCACGTTGCCTGTCAATTGCAGATAGAGCCACGTTGATTAATGCGACGTCTAGTGAATCAATTTGAAGTGGAAGTGGCTACTAAAGGACAACCAATGCAGGCGAAAAGCGCTACGTCCTACGCATGTCCGATGGATCCAGTTAGGCTAGGCCAATGACCATTTGTCGTTGAATAGAGCGTGATGATTTCATCCATCAACAGGAAATGCGGATGGCCAGCGGTGAACGACGGGGCAGTGTGAATAAACTGAAGAAGTCCGACTTGAGTCCAACCAGCCACGAAATTCAACCAAGCTACAGAGGTCACACAACCAAGGCTCCGAGAAAAAGGAGAATTGAAGCAAAACATGAAGAAAAAAAAAAAAAAAAGGTCAAAAACGACAACACAGTCACGGCACGACCTGACCCCGCATCGGACGGGGATCTCCTGCTTACACAGCTGAATGCCCTTTCAAGTGAGGCAGGCGCACTAACCGTTGTGCTATCAAGTGAAAGTCTGTCCTAATCTAGCTATGTAGGTGATATTCAACTTGTCGGGTTCAGGACAAGACGGCAGGATGAGGGTTGTTTTCAACCGTGGGAACTTTACCGAATACTAGTACCGGTGTCTCCATTACAGCCAATTGCATTACGAGCTACCATGAGACTCAGTTGGAGAAAGAAAAAACGCTAAACAGAAAGGCAATGGGCGGATGACTGGGTCCAAAAGGAGAGGGAGAAAAGATTGAAGATTTTCAGGCGCACGACTCGGACCATGACCCCAAATCGAATGGAGATCTCCTGCTTACAATATGTTCCGTGAATAGAGACAGGAGGCGCACTAACGGAAGGTTAGTCAAGGTATGGATATTCTGAGATAAGAGAAAGAAAGAAGCATGTACATGTGTTTTAACCGTGAGAAGTTTGTCAAAATCCTATCGAAATATCGGGTGACTGTTAAAAGCACTGAGTATCCTACGACCTAGCATTCAATAATCAAGTAGGAAAAGAGACGCTACATGAAACATGATTGCGCTGGTGATGGTGAGGAAAGAAAAAAGGTCACGACCAGACCCCAAATCAAACGAAGATCTCCGAGTCCTGCTTAGTACAGACACATGTTCTGTACAGGGAGAAGGCACACCAGCCATTGTGCTATCAGGTCGTTGTAAATCATCTGCTGGATGGATCTATGTGCATGTGAAGGAGAATGCAGGGTCAAAAGGGAGGATCAATGGCAGAAATGAAACATGTTTGAGTGCAGTTCTATACGGCGTGGAAAATCAACGACAAATGAGAAACAATTAGTGTAACCTCATGCCATCTTGCTTCAGAAAAGGGAAGAATTAAAGAAGAACAATTTGAGCTATACTTGAATGATGACCTGAATCCGGATCGAACAGAGATTTCCAGCTTATGATCCATGTTCACAACAGCTACAACGGAAACTGGCGCACTAATCGTTGTGCTATCAGGCCGCATTGCAAACATATAAAAATTCAATCATATCGGTGGTGTCTGGATGGCGAGAGGGCAGGTCGACAACGGAGAAGAATATTAGTATTTCAACCGTGGGAACTTTGCCAAAAATGCAATTGCAACTACCGGACATCTGGACCAGAGGACTCCAAGACGGACTGGATATGTGAAGCATGGGGTCGTTGTATGTTGTGGGGAAAGAGACAGAGAGAGAGATAAAGAGAGAAAATCAGGAATCTACAATCCAAGGCAGATGACCAGGACCTGACCCTGAATCTACCTGAGCACTCCTCAGAACCGTTGTGCTATCAGGTCGGTTTGCAAGCCGCGAAGTTACACGGATTCAATGCCCTTCTTTTGGCATCCAATGAACTTTGCCGGAGTATTCGACTCTGTAAGAGACTTGAGGGACAAAAAAAAACCTCCATTCGAACAAGAATCCTGTGCCTACATGGCTACACAGGTACCGAGGCCGGCCAACAGATCATGATTTAGAGCACATAAGGGATCTAGAAGCATCGTCCCACCATGGTTAGCATGTTGAGTTATGCTGGAGGGTGTTCGGCTCAGTACCAACTCGCCGCTTTCTACCTGACCGTCAAATCAGTCTCGAGTCTAACTTCAACAGGTGGGGCTCTAGACACCTAAGATTCCAGTGAGGTTCGTCGGCAAATGGTGTCGCCGTTCGATTGCATCCTTCGCCGAATCGTTTCGGATCCGTTTGGATATGTTTGTACAGAGTGCGCATGTCCGGGTGTTTGCTGTCTACGTCTTACGCACAGTAGAAGACCACTAGAAGGCTAGAAAGCTTCTTGCTGCCGTATGGTGAATTGATGGAAAGGGAAGTTTCTCTAATGGTTGTCGAGTGAATGAACCAAGAAAGAGATGAATGAGCAGGTGAAATGTGAGAATTTATCACACATTGCCGAAGAGGTAGTAAAAATAGTAACACCGTTGTCTTCGCGGCTAGAAGAGAGAAACAACGGGCGTCCCAAAGAAGAAAAAATAATCTTCTCTATGCATTCGCATTCAAGGTGGGGTTAGGTGCGTCCACGCAAAGCGTTAGTCCAGAGGTGTATGCAGTAGAATGTGTGAGAACGGATGGTGGACCGAGCAAACAGGATGCGAGCTGTTTCCACACTCAGACTTGATAGGACTTGATTGCATTCGAAATCCGGGCTTGAAGCTCGCAAACGTTTTCATCGAGGATTCCCAGCTACTGATTGTGAGGCCAAAGCAACTGTAAAAATGGTACGCATGGGAAGGTAAGCATAGGTATACTTGCTGGTCGTTCTCGGTTGGAATTCGCTGGTCCGAAAAAAGGAGCCGGGTCCGGTTCAACCCGATCGCCGCACCGCCACGATGAGTCATTCAACATTCAAGTGCTTCTCACCGGGTCTCTCGCACTAGTACCTGCCGCTGTACTTCGGCACACCGTCCACTCAGTCCTGCCAACACCGTCTATCATGTATCGCGATCTCATACCAAAACCAATGTCACGTCTCCGAGCAGAGGCCAACTCCAAATTGCTTTGAACTCACATCCAATTTCCAAACGACGACATCCATCATGTAGTGTGATACGACACTCGACTCCAGACCCCTCGGTTCAGCAAATGCATTGTGCGAACTAATCGGCGCGACCTGCCGGGCGGGCTTATCGCTTTGATCAGTAACATACCATGTCGCGACAAAGCACACGACCGGTCGGCGGTCGCTCATTGAAGTCATTCACTCTTCCCTTGAAACGTGCTCTTCTCTGGAAAGTCTGCCCCTGGGACCAAGAAGACGAATGTTCGGCGTCTTCCGACGCGGTTGGCCATATCTCATTTTCCTCTGGCATCCCTACTGGTTTCAAGTTGTGCTAATTTCTCGGTGTAATAAGTACGGCTCCTTCTACCATCCCTGGAATCTTGGAATCTTGGCTCGCTCGCTCATGCTTGTTCGCTTACTTGCTCAAATCTTGGCCTCCGCTTCTCTCTTTAAATCTCCTCATGAGATCTTGTTTCGTTTTACTTTCCTGAAATCTCTTCACCTCAGTTCTCAACTTTTGTGCATTTTCCCGCTGTTGAGATTGACTACAGAATTGAGTTTCGTTTCAAGTGGAAATGGTTGCATCACATCTTGTCCTTATCCCCTCGAGACCGCACCACATAAAGCGGAAGCGTACCAGCTTATCGATTGCGATTGCGATTGCGATTGTGATGTTCCGACCTAAATTGCGTTTTCGACCACCGACTCTCGAGTCTCTTCTTTTTGGCACTCTCTTTTAGGCTCGCAAGTGGTCCACATGCAGACGGCCCCTGGCGGCCCTTTGAACTCACGACAGGTCAACCTCTCGGTCCCATAGGCCGACGACCCTTGGGGTTCTTGGCAGATAAGCCATCCTCTTGGATCTCCTCAACCATCGGCTTGCTTACTTGTGGTTCCTGGGCCGGCTTCCAATGGGCTTTCTGAATTCGGTGACCTTTCTGGATCGGGATACCGCTGGATCTCATAAATCATCCTCTTGGCTCTCGTCGACCGCCGACCTTCTTTTAACTTGCGGACCGTCGACGAGTTCCAGTCAGATTTCTGCGTTCGGTGAACTTTCTGAATTGGGTTTTGTCTGGATGTAAGGCCGCGATTCCGGTGACAGGATTTCGGGCAAGAACTCCGATGGCTGCATCTAATGATACCTCGCGTAGGTCGCTACGGCTAAACGTTGTGAGGGATAAGTTTGCGGGTAAACGGGCAGTGTACGGAACGGGTCCGGCGACGTAAGGTCTCTTGACATACGGTGTTTGTGCGGTAGAATTGCCCTGCGGCTTGCAAGCGGCTTGGCAAAGATACTTGCCATTGGCGTCAAGTTGGATGACGAGGGCAAACCGCTTACTCCGCGACAAATGAGGATGAATGGGGGTTTTAATGGGCACGCGCGTCGACGGATGTACGGAAATCCGGGTGATGACTGCATGAAGAGATGTAATGGTTCGGATGTATGAGACGACTGGCCGACTATGCAGTACAATAATGCAACAAAAAAAATCAAACATGCTTAATTCAGTCTGGGCTGTTGAAGGCCGAATACACTGGCTTTCTCGAGGGTAATTTGACGCAAAATGGAGAGCAGAAAAACAAAACTTGCTGTGATCTCAACGAGGATCTATTGTTTGAGGATCTATTGTTTGAGTAATTGATTCACTGAGTCTAGTAATTTCACCCTTTGTTGTGCTACCCGTTCACATTTACGGTCTTTGGGTGCTGGCTATGTGCATTATGTGCATGTTGTTCGACAATAAACGATTAGCATCTTGCTTTACACCCAGCCGACTTGACTTCGAATCCGACAGTGATCTTCTGCTTGCGCGATAAGATAAACAGGATCGCTGTACGGGGCAGGTAGTTAGATTCAAGCAACCAAGTCCAGTTGTCACAGAAAACAGAATGAAATAAAACAAAACATGAAGGTCGATCCCATAGTATCAACATAGTATAGTCCAACCCCGAATCGAACAAGAATTGCAGAGCAATTCATGTGCCTCGTGTTGGGCTGTTTCTTGCATGCAACGAGATTAACTCTGGACTGTGGATGTTTTGTGCAAGTGTTGAAAGTAGGGCTGAGGTAGCCTGAGCTAGGCTTGGACGGACGAGTACACGCGAGTACGAGCCGCCTCGGAGTTTGAAAATAATGATGGATGCTTGTTCACCGTGCCAAAAGGTTGTGGCTTAGCGGTTTTCTGGCAACCCGCTTGAGAACCTTGATATGAGGAGCTAAGAATTTATTTGTGAATTTACCGTAGACCGTGAAGGAGCTCTACGCAGCTCTTTTTTGAGCTTTTGTGGGCACAATTGATGGAAGTGTCATCTTACTGATGGCTCGGCGTTTGTTCGTATCTTTTTTTTCAAACTCCGAGGCGGCTCGTACTCGCGTGTACTCGTCAACTCCAGCCTCGCTACGGTGAGAGCGTCGGAGCTGCAGGTATGATGGCGGATGATGGCGGATGATGGCAGATTTGATCAATTCCCACGGTATATATCCCTGGAACGAATTC